TTTATTTTCAGGGTGACAACATGCAGAAACGTCGTTCATCAGACGTCACAGCTTCTAAACTCAAAGATCTTGCTCAAAAACTTATGCAGAAGGTAAATGGATAAAGTAAATTTTCACTAGAAAAATCTTAAATTTGATTTTGAAGAAATGTAGAAATTAAATAGCTACACATGAACATACTGTTCAGTAGTTTTCATATGAATGGTCACACGTTGAGGTTTCGTCAAAAATATATCTAATGTATTGACTACATTGTACAATGACTGCTTAAAGGAGCTCAGTCACGGTATTTTGAGTTATTTTGGCCACATACAAAATTACCTTTAATTGAAGGAAACCTGAAAATACTAGTTCACCAAGATAGAAAAACACCAAAGAAGTAATAATAAACCAGAAAGGAACAAGGATGGGTTAGGATGGAGAAGATTAACACGGATTACAAACAAGGAACGTGAAACATTTAGGCTTAAGTTTACAAGACGCGCAAACCGTGACGTAGCTCCTTTGATACCAGTCAATCAGTCAATCAATCAATCAATCAATCAATCAAAACTTTATTGATATGCCAGTCTAGCTATCCAAGGGAAACACCCCGCTACTAAATGGGACACTTAAATATGCCCACATTTTGGACACAGTCGAGGCAAACGGCCAACAACAACAACGACAACAACAGTAGCTAACGTTTTCTGCTCTTTCTTTTTGTAGGACAAGGAAGACGTTGTTTCAGCTTCCTGTGTCCTAAGGACCTTCACTGAAGATCCTTACGACTCCCCGGACTCAGACGAGGAGTAGATCTGCGTACATAACAGATAACGGGCCAAAAAGGCACATTCCTGTGCTGGCACCAATATTTTGCTAAATTTTTGTCTTATGACTCAATGTAAACTTATGTAGCTTATTCTAAACATTTTGATAAAGCGAATTTTAATCGAGTTTTTCAATATGCGTAATTATTCGGTATTTTTGTATCGATGTTTTTCGACCGCAAAACAGTATTTATTTTTTTGTAGGAAAGATTTTTGTGATACTGTTTGTAAAGTGTGTTAATATCGTCATGGAGTCGAGCCAAGTTTTATATTTGTATGCTGCTGAAAGTCCATCGTAAATGTTTGTTGTGATTATTTTTCTAATTCTTTCAATGTAAGTTTATTGAATAACAATAGTGATGATAAAACTTAGGAGAAGGATAGCAACTATTATGCATTTACAGATACACCATCAAGCCATTACGTATTTCAAGCCTTGTCTCAACTAGAGTTCGCTTCATAAAGTCGGCATCAGTAAAGGAAATTAAGAGCTCTGGCGCTAGTTGAAGCTTAAAAATTTCGGATGGTTTTATTTTCGGGCACTTAATTCGTCCGAAATTAAAATCGTCCAAAATTTTTTGCAAGTAATGTTTGTTGCTGTCGAGATGCTCAAAACCAAAACATATCTGGTTCGCAGGAAACCTATTCAATCAATAATGGTTACATTTTGTGCCGGTTCTTATCTCCCAATAACATTGCCAATCACTCTGGAACAAAGAAAGCATCAAGTTTTCTAATCTTTTCTAAGTTTCGCTTTGTCCTGTCTCGCAGGAGCCACTGTACTTGGACGTGCGTAATTTACAGAGACTGGTAAGTTGAAAAAATAGGTCCGCAATGCGTATATATATATAAAGGTAGTCTTATTAGAAAAAACTGTTTTAATTGAGCAATTTGTAAGGGTTTAATCTCAAACTTATCAATATTTCATTCGGCTTCAGTAGGGGAGATCATAACCGTGACATTGGTTGTGGCTTCCTCTGAAAAGATATATCAAACATTAGAGACAGTGGCTCACCACATTTCCAAACTTTTCGAAGTTCGTCAAAAATACTCCACTGTGCGTCGTATTTTCAACTCTCCTCTCAATATTTGGAAATGTGACAAAACACGGTCTCTCTTGTTTGACATATCACATGAAATATCGCCTCTCATTGGCTGCATACTGTTTTATTTTGCTGCAGAGCGGAAGGACGCCTTTGAGATCATGTC